TTTTCAAAGAAATTAATGATATTAACCAAATTAATTGTCAGATGATCTCATTATCTGATGATCTCAAGTTCCAGATCTCCTCCTATTACCCATAAATAAAAAAGAGAAGGAATTTGGATTTTTCCATGCACTTAAACTGGGAATAGCACTGCCCTCTTTGGTGACAGCCAACCTATTTCTCAGACAAACATAAATGTATTTAAATTGTAATAGTTATGCCAGGTGTGGTGATGCACACCTGTAATCCCAGCAATCAAGAGGCTGAGGCAAGAAGACTGCTGTGAGTTTGAGGCCAGTCTGGGCTACATAGTGAATATAAGACTCGCCTGAACTACAAAGTGAGACCTTGCCTCAAAAGTAAATAAATAAATTAATTAATAAAATTATAATAGTTATGTAGGAGGCCGAGGCAGGAGGATCACTGTGAGTTCGAGGCCCACCTGCACTACATAGTTAGTTCAAGGCTAACCTGAACTACATAGTGAGACCTTATCTCAAAAAAAAAGAAAGAAACACGAACTAAATGTTAGCAACATAGTTCTTAGTCCAGCTTTGCCAGTAACCAGCTATGATCTTAAACTTCAGCTTTCTCATCTAGAAATGAAAGGGACTGAAATAAAGATCTGTCTCTGCCTTTATGATTTTAGATGGGAAGATAAAAATATTCAATATAAAATAACTGGAGAATACTGAAATGTTAAACAATAAAATATAGTCTGTTTCATGTAATGTGAACATTTAAATACCAGTGGAAATTGGAGAAGGTACAGTACTCATAAACCAGAAGGAACTTGATCTAGAAATGAATGAAGCAGGCTGAACTGTTATACAACAAGAGGCAGATAGCTTTCAACTCTACGAGTACATATAAATTTGCTCTCAGATGCTGAACAAGGAATCAGGCTCTATTTGACTGTGCCTACTACTTATCTCTTAGGGTAGACAAAAGAACACCCATATACCACTTTTATATGCACCACAGCTATTTTCAAATCTATCAGGATTATATTCTGTGTGAACTGAGTCATACTATACCTTTTTTTTTTTTTTTTTGGTACCTGGGATCGAACTTGGGACCTTGCACTTGCGAGGCAGGTGCCAGAACCACTGAGCTAAATCCCCAGCCCAATCATACTATACCTTTAAAAAAAAAAAAACTAAAGAAGCCATTAGACTGTTTTGATACTTTCTGCCTACCTTGAAAACCTCACTCAAGTATTCATGGGAGAGAAATAGACAAATGGTGACATTTCAAATGCATATTTTGCTGCCCAGGTGTCATTTCTAATTTTAATCTAGTCTTGTTTTGTTTTGTTTTTTTGGTACTAGGGATTGAACTTGGGACCTTGTGCTTTCGAGGCAGGCGGCGGAACCACTGAGCTAAATCCCTGGCCCTAGCCTTGTTTTTTACATAAAAAATAATAAATTCTTTTGGCAATACACAAATAAAGGGCAATAATAGAAGAAATAAACATCAATAAGCAATAAAAGGCAGAAATTACATACTGCTAATGTCATTCAATACTAACAGACTTAAAATATACTGTTGTACAAATAAAGCTTCAAACTCAGTTTTAAAATACATATATATGTGTGTGTGTATATATATATACATATATATGTGTGTATGTATATATGTATACATACATATAGAAGAAAATACTTTATATAAAGTAATTACCTTGCATTTCACAGCACCCAAAATAGTAGCGTGACACACCCATGTTGCCAACTACTTCCCATTTATTTTCATCAGGATCAAATCGTTCAATTGTGTTTCCTATCTCAGCTCCAACCCATCCACCTATGATCAAATAGAAAAATGTTTATTTCTGGGATAGAGGAATCTCATGACAAAGACCTTACAAAACAACTAATTGGACTACTTCATAATATGGAGTAATATCACACAAACCAAAGGTAATTTGTCCATGATGATATAAAAAGTTAGAATATGACCATGAGTAAAACTCAGGTTTTTTAAACTCCCTGTCTAGTTTTACTAGTGTATAAAACAAAGCAAAACATTCAATATATTACATGGTAAAAATGGTATTTTGTGAAACCAACTTTTGCAACAACTTCTGTGTGTTCAAAATAGTTATATTAATCAAGAATGATTCTAAGCCTAATTGTGATATACATCTATTTAGTGACTTTTTTTTTTTGGTACCAGAGATCGAACTCGGGACCTTGCGCTTGCGAGGCAGGCGGCAGAACCACTGAGCTAAATCCCTGGCCCTTCAAAGACCTTTTTGAAGTTTTTAAAGTCACACTAGGGCCAGGGATTTAGCTCAGTGGCACCATGCCTCCCTTGCAAGTGCAAGGTCCCAAATTCAATCTCCAGTACCAGAAAAAAGTCTTTGATGTCCAAAATAGCATTTCCTTAACAGTCTCTAATTACTGACATTGAAAATGTTCCCTTGTACATTTTGAGGTATAACTGAAAAATACAAATATTTATAGGAGTAATAAAAAGATGAATGGATTAAGTTCACATTGAAGTAACTGATATCTTTTCCAGAATAAGTGTTGATGGACAGGGAAGGGGCAAGACACTAAGATCCATACAGTAAACTGAAAAGGTTGAAAAGGTAATGATATGAAGCAAATAGGGGAGACTAAGAGCTATATCAACTTCCAATGTGCCCTAGAAACAACTCTCATTATACCATTTATTATAGAGATAATAAAAAAGTAGAATAACTTGTTCAAAATCACAGTAGTGTGGCACTATTGTCACACTACACCTATTTCCATTTTAACACAGAATGTTTTTTTAAAATGTCACATAACCATTCACTAAATGTGTAACAATGAAATAATATAGCACAAAACTTTCTTTTGGTGTCTTTAATTTTTTTGTTATGTGCTTTCTTACATTAGACATAATTAGGCTACCATCAGAGTGGTAGAAGTGTTACATACTTAGTTAAAATCATGAGATTTAACTAGTCAGCTAAAGTGCTTTACTGGACATATTATCTATAAATTATCTCTATCTTTAAAAACTTCATACTTAGCTGGGCATGGTGGCACATGGCTGTAATTCCAGTCCTCAGGAGGCTGAGGCAGGAGCATCACCATGAGTTTGAGGCCAGCCTGGACTACATAGTGAATTTGAGGCCAGCTTGGACTACATAGTGAGTTCAAGGCCAGCCTGAACTACATAGCAAGAACCTGTCTCAAAAAACAAAACAAAACAAAAAACTTCATACATAAAGAAAAAAGAAAAGGTCAAAGAGAATTACAACAGAATGCCTGTAAAAATAACAAAACTCCACACATGACAATATTTTCTAATATGATACTGAGAATAAGAATTTACAGAGCTGAAAAGACACTCATTTCTTTTTTTTTAATTTCACTTTATTTTATTTTTTTGGTTTTTCTGAGACCAGGTCTCACTATGCAATTCAGGCTGGCCTCCAACTTGCAGTAATCCTTCTGCCTCAGTTTCCCAAGTGCTGGGACTACAGGCTTGTGCCACCATGCCTGACTAAGATACTCATTTCTCATGGGAAAGAAAAAACATCTCTAATCAGAACCAAAAATTCAAATAATCTAAGTTATCTTTAAACTGAACAGCATAATTACCCAAAGCATAGATAGCCCCATAACACACACACACTCCCAAGCCACAGCGGGGATGGTTCATTGAAGCTACAGTTGTCCACTGTTTAGTAACTGGGTCATAGCATTCAGTACAGTCAAAAATCATCGAATCCTTTTCACCTGGTATAAACAAAAGAGACACATGAGAAGATTTAGTAATGCTAACAGACTAGAACCATAATACAATGATCAGTAGCATTCCTCATTTTCAGAAATTCAATCATTATGTCTGATTATAAAATATTCATTAAAATTCATTTGCCTAGTGAACATTACTTTGAATCCATAGCATTTTCATCTAGTAAAGCCAATTTATAAAGCAAAGGCATAATTTTCCTATTATCTATTTCTAACTTACCACCTAATCTATGTAATTTTTAAAGATCCAATTTTCATTTTAATATTTCTACTTTGGGGGTCATTACTTCAGAAGCTGACCAGGGTACAATCTGAGTAATTAAAATCCTTATGTAGCAACATAATCCTTATGTGCAGAGGACTGTAATATTGATTATGCCCAAGGCAGGCTGTAAAGAGTTAACCCCACAATTGGCTTGTTTATAGAAGTGAGTCTGGCTAAACTACGTGCCAAGGTCAGAGTAGCTCACACCCAAATTTCATTCCCACAACTAAAAACTTCAGACTAGAAGGACAATGTTCTAATTACAACAATATATTTTGTCTATTTTGTTCCTAATTTAAGAATGCTTTGTCTTGTCCTTTCTGAGCCTTGTTTACATTAATTTGCATAGAAACCACACATGACCTTTACCCCAATTGATTGCCAATAAAAGTAAGTGCTTGGGCTGGGGATTTAGCTCAGTGGTTCCGGCGCCTGTCTTGCAAGCGCAAGGTCCCGAGTTCAATCCCCAATACCAAAAAAAAATGGATACAAAATTAAAAAAAAAAAAAAGTCAGTGCCTGGGACTGTCCAGCACCTTTGTTGGTTGCACCAGCATTGGTCGTCCTGGCACCTTGCTTTCTCTCTCTTAGTTCTGTTTCTTAGTGTATTTTTTTCTCAGGCCTGAGTCGCACACGCGGCAGGTGGGGACTAAAACTTACTTCAGGAGTCCTGGCAATCTATTTCTTTCTTTTCTTTTTCTTTTTTCTTTTTTCAAACAAAACAGGCAATACTTTATTAAGTTCCCAAAATAATGTTTCAAAGAGGGAACTCTAAATGTATAAACTGGACATTTTCTTTTGCCATCAATATCAATTCCTTCTAAAAGACATTGGGCTTTCTTTGTGGTTTCCATGTACAAACTAAAATTGATTGCTCAGAGTAATTCAGCCTCATCACAACGAAAACAGTTTGCAAAAAATATTTTGTTTAGCTAGGTAGAGTGGTACATATGTGTAATCCTAGCACTAGGAAGGCTGAGGCTGGAGGATTGCCGTGGGTTCAAGGCTGACGATCTTTCTAATTTACCACCCAATCTATGTAATTTTTAAAGATCCAATTTTCATTTTAATATTTCTATTTTGGAGGTGGTATTAGTTCAGAAGCTGACCAGGGTACAATTTGAGTAATTATAACCCTTATGTAGCAACAAACACAAAATGAGATTTAAAAAAATATACTACTTAAAATAGAATTTTAAAATACAGTATACTGCTGGGTGTGGTGGCACATGCCTGTAATCCCAGCATTCAGAAAGCTGAGGCAGGAGGATCTCCAAGATTTGAAGACCAGCCTGGGCTACATAGTGAGTTCAAGGCCAGCCTGAACTACATAGCAAGACCCTGTCTTAAAAAATAAAAATAAAATTTCAGTATACTATACTTAAAAGTAATTCTAGGGCCAGGGATTTAGCTCAGTGGTTCCAGCACCTGCCTCACAAGTGAAAGGTCCCGAGTTTGATCCCCGGTACCAAAAACAAAAAACAAAACAAAAAAAAGTAAGTCTAGCTGGGCACGGTAGCAAATATCTGTAATTTCGGCTACTCAAGAGGTTAAGTCTGGAGGATCACAAGTTCAAGGCCAACCTGGGCAACTGGGGGGTGGGGGGATTTGAGACAGAGTCACTCTATTTACTGAAACTTAAAATCCATTCCAATTAAATGAAGAAAAAAATGTCCAAAAAAATTCTTTCTTTTGCCCTTAGAATTCAAAATACAGTTTATTCAAAGTAACATTTTTACAATACTCAAAACTTTTAACCACTAATCCATAACTATACCTACCTTAGTGTAACAAAACAGCCACATTAAATTCCTTGATTTTTTTGTTTGTTTGTTTATTTGTTTGGGATTTTTGGGGGACAGGATCTCACTAGTAGTTGAGGCTGGCCTTGAACACACAGTGATTCCTCCTGCCTCAACCTCGTGAATGCTGGGATCACAGGCATGCATCACTATGCTTGGAAAATGTTTGATTATTTGTTTGTTTGTTTGTTTTGGTACTGGGGATCAAAATCGGGACCTTGCACTTGCAAGGCAGGCACCAGAACTACCAAGCTAAATCCCCTGCTATATTTGATTATTAATACTGAAAAAAAATATGGTGAATTCTAAAACAAGGCAAGTTAGCAACTAGGAGGGTTTTCCTTCTGGGTATTCAAAGCTCTGCCTTGTTTTTTTAGGCTGGGATAAGAGTCTCTCTAGTGTATAATATTCAACAAACTATGTTTCTTTTTCTTATTTTGATCTATTCAATATTTATTTATTGAGCATGACACATAATACCTAGCAATATATATAAGAAATATAAGAATGTATCCAAGTAGAGGGAAAGGAGGGAAGGCAGCACAAAAAAAAATGTAGACAATTAGTTAGACATGGTGGCACATGCCTATAATCCTAGCACTCGAGAGCCTAAGCAGGAGGATTATAAAATTGAGGCCAAAATGGCCCACATAGTGAGTTCAAGGCCAGCCTGAACTATGATGCAAGATCCTGTCCAAACAACAACAAAAAAGTGGCAACTAAGCTTACTAAAGAAAATAATATATTTTTATCATTACCTCCAATAGCATAGACCATCCCTCCCAACACTGCTACTCCCAATCCACATCGAGCCTGATGAAGTGAAGACACAGTGGTCCAGTACTGGCTAAAGGTATCAAAACGTTCTACGCAGCTGAGGGCTCTGCTATCACTCCAACGGCCCCCCTGCAACCGAGTATATCCACCTAAACAAAGGAAGGAAAGGAAGTAAACAGCAAATCCCTTACCACTAAATATGTAATGATAGTATATCTTAACATTTCTATCATCCCTCATGACCTTCTAAGACATTATGAATAGCTTGAAATTTTATTTTTCATATGAATTCAAAATTTAAACTTTCATTTTATTTTATTTTTTTGGTACCGGAGATTGAACTCGGGTCCTTGCACTTGCGCCACCTGCTCTGCAAGCACAAGGACCTGAGTTCGATCCCTGGTACCAAAAAAAAAAAAAAAATTTAAACTTTTAAAGCAATGTTTCATCAGCCATTTGATAACTGTTTAATCTAAGAACCCAATTAATTTAAATCACAGAATAACAGATATCAAATGAGTAACTATTTAGTTTTAGAAATACTGACTTTAATACAGAAATGCAATTTATAAATCTATAGCCTGAATGTGAAATTAAATGTCTCTAACATATTTAATACTCTGACATGGATATTAATCACAACTAACTATTAAAATGCTTTGATCCTGAAATAAAGATAATTCCTATTGCTTTTTCTCACCTACTGCATAGAGGTACTTTCTTGCTTTCTTCCGAGGTCGAACTTTAGATGTCTGCAGAAAACTACAAAATTTATTCTCTTTTGGAGATTTGGACACTTCACAGTACTCTTTCAAAAGTGTTTGCAATGCAACATGAAGATTAAAATCAGATACTCCTAAAGCAATGTTTAAAAAGACAATGTTTTAAAGAACTTTTAAATATTACTGAAGAGATACATTTTGACAGACACATTTAGCAATCAATAAATAAAAATTCATTGCTACCAAAGAATATATTTTATTTAAGTTTACCAAAAATTGTTTTTAAAAATATGCTTCACAATATTAAATTTGAAAACACATATATAAGGGTTTCAAATAAAGAAGACAAGGCAAAACAAGATCATAATTATCTAACAACATTTTAAAAAGTCAAAAATCCTATACTTACAACCTAATAACAAACAGGATATCTACTTATAGTAGACTAAAACTAGATCCCTGTCTATCACCCTGTACAAAAATCAATCCAAAATGGATCAAAGACCTAAGTATAAAATCTGAAACTGAAACTACTAAAAGAAAACAGAGGGCAAACCCTTGAAGCCATAGGCACAGGCAAAGTCTTCCTGAACAGTAGCACTCCAATAGCACAGGAAAAAATAGCAAGAATCAACAGATGGGACCACATCAAATTAAAAAGTTTCTGCGCAGCAAGAGAAACAATTAGCAAATTGAAAAGACAGCCTACAGAGTGGGAGAAAATCTGTGCCAGTTGCTCTTCTGATAGAGGATGAATATCCAGAGTCTATACTAGAGAAAGACTATATCCTGGCACCAACTACTGATAAAAAAAAACACAAAAAACCCAAAACAAGCCAGGCATGTTGGTGCACACCTGTAATTCCAGAACTAAGGATGGCTGTGATTTCAAGGCCAGCCTAGGCTACATAATAAATTCAAGGCCAGCCTACACTACAAAGCAAGACCCTGACTCAAAAAAACCAACCAAACAAAAAAAAGAACAAATTATAGTGCTGTTGGCATATGTTCAATGTTAGTAAATCAGCAATACATATTAAATAAAGTATTTCTACACAAAAACTTACATGAAACAAGGCTATGTATGGATTGGATGACAAAAATATGACTAGAGACTCACAGGAATCTAACTCTAAATTTCTCTGAAGAGAATGCCTCAGTATTTGTTAACTTTATTTTTGCAGGATCTTTATAGGACATAACTATTACAAATAATAATCAACTATATATATGTATTAATATAAAATATCACTCAGAAAAAACCGCAAAATTCTGTTAATACTGCTAAGAGTGAAGAAAAGCTAATGATCGCCGGGTATGGATGCGCAGGCCTGTAATCCCAGCACTCAGGAAGCAGAGGCAAGATTGCTGTGAGTTCAAGGCCAGCCTGGGCTACATAGTGAGTTCATGGCCAGCCTGAATTACAAAGCGAGACCCTGTCTCAAAAAACCAACCAAACAAACAAAAGACCTATTATTTAATTTCTTTGCAGAACTACATCTTTGACCCATAATAGTGTATTTAATTTGTAGTAAGATCATTTGTAATTCAGTCACAATCTAATCTTTCAGTGCTTGACAACAGTAGAAACACCAAATTAACATCAAATCCTAAAACCAGATCAAAAATTTTTTAAAAAGTAATTTTAACATAATTATTTTTCTAACATAATAATTTTTTTTAAGGTACTAGGGATTGATCCCAGAATCTTCACACTGAGCTACATCTTCAGCCCTTTTTATTTATTTTACAACACAGTTTTATTTAGTCACTAAGTTGCCCAGGATAGGCTTAAACTTGTGATCCTCTTGCCTCAGCCTCCTAGAGTGCTAGAATTGCAGATGTGAGCTACTATGCCTGGCTAAAGATAATTTTTTTATACTACAGTGAAAATATTTCCAGAAAAAAGTTTAAAATTGGGACTGGGACCTGAGTGCAATGGCACATACCTGTAATCCCAGATATGGAGAAGATTGAAATAGGAGGATCACAAGTTTGAGGTCAGCCTGAGCGAAGACCTGTCTCAAAAAATGAAAAGGGTTTAGGGCCGGGGATTTAGCTCAGTGGTTTTGCAGCCTGCTGCGCAAGTGCAAGGACCCGAGTTCAATCCCTGGTACCAAAAAAAAACAAACCAAAACAACAACAAAAAAAAGGGTTTGGCCGGGGATTTAGTTCAGTGGTGCCACACCTGCCTTGCAAGTGCAAGGTTCCGAGTTCAATCCCTGGTACCAAAAACAAAACAAAACAAAACAAAACAGACAAAAGAAAAACCATATCTTGTTCCAAAAAATAAAAAGGGCTAGAGATGTAGCTCACTGGTAGAGCATTTGCCTAACACGTGGAAGGGCCTACATTTGATCCCTAGCACCACACACACACACACACACACACACACACACACACACACACAAAGTCTAGAATCTAACAATGATTCAAAAGCTACTCAGAAGCTCTTGATATATCATTACAAAACTTCATTTAACAGTGAAAGAGGATTTACAGCATTTTCTGAGTTTTGGTTTTGTTTTTAGTAAACAGATTCTTCTCAAATATTAGGTTTTCCTGACGAAGAATGACAGGAGGAAATCTTATGCTGAAATAATTAGTACTATCAACAACAGTTAACAGTGTTAACTATCGGTAATTTTATGTATAATACTCATCTTTCTTATTAATTTCAAGAAAAGTACATAAATATTTAAGAATGAGTATAAATACTTTTGTCCACCCACTGAAGTTGTATCTTACAGTAATCATTCAATATAAGTGCCAAAAAATGAAAATAGCACATTTCAGAGAAAAAGCCACTTGATAATTCAGTAATTTGATATACAACAAAAAAGTTAAAGTTACCTTCAATATACTTTAAAAGCCTCTGAGGAGGTAATAAAGGGAATCGAATTGGGTCAAGCACTTCTACCACATGTTTTCTTCTCTTTCCCAGATCTTTCAGAATCCACTGCATTGCAGCTAAGAAAACCTGGTATTCATCCTCAATGCTAAGCTCTTCACTTCGTAAAATTCTGATTAGCTGATCTTTTGTAAGTGCCAGGAACTCTTCCCCACTATGAACTTCCAAGAAATGGACATGAATGTAGTTTTCTGTGAATTCTAAAAGATCATGGCAGGCAATCTGTTCAGAGAACTGAAAGATCCCAATGCAGTTCAGTGGATCAATTTGTCTTTTCAGAAATTCACAACAAAGATTAACAACTTCAGTCAATTGTAGCATGTCCGCTGCAACAATCAACTCCTGAACATTATTCACAGCTATATTCACTATACCTAGGGAAGTACGGAGACAAAATAGCCGATAAAATAAAAACATACATTTGACTTAACATACTCAAAATTATTTTACTTGATTTCACTAGCAGTTTAATCTTTGTTGAGTAGACAGAAGTATAAAGACAACAAAATATTTTTTGAAAGAGGACAAAACTTAATGAAACCTCACATTTATGGAATACTTACAATGAACCAGACATAGTATTAAATGCTTTATACACTGAATTCACCCTCACTACATCCCATATATCAAGGAAACAGAATCAGACAGTTTAAATAACTTTAAGCCATGTTAAATGGCTAAGCAAGTTGCAGGGTAGGGACTGACATTGAAGTCCATTACTGCCTATGATCCCAGCACTCGGGAAGCTGAGGCAGGAGGATCAAGGCCAGCCTGGGCTACATAGTGATTTCAAGGTTAGCCTGAACTACATAGCAAGACCATGTCTCAAAACAAAAACAAAAGAGTCCATTACTGAGCTTGAGAGAGATCTCTATCTTCCATTGAGTGCCATATCTCTATCTTCAATTAGGACATAGTGCCATACAATGTTTAGTTTTTACTGTCAGGTATAACTAAGAGTCTATAACAAATGAGAAGGGCCGGGGATTTAGCTCAGTGGTGCTGTCGCCTGCCTCGCAAGTGAAAGGTCCTGAATTCGATCTCCGGTACAAAAAAAAAAAAAAAGAATGAATGATTGACAAAGGTTAAATGAAACATCCAGTATCACACATTAATTAGTGGCAGAGCTAGATCTCAACCCAGACCATTTGATTCTAAGTGAAATACATAAAAATCCGAGATGAGAATTACATACTAAAATATATTAGAATTGTGATTTGTTGATGAAGAAAAATAAATCTGCCAGGAGTGGTGCATGCCTCTAACCCCAGCACTTTGGAGGCTGAGGCAGGAGGATCACTGGGTGTTCAAGGCCAGCCTGTGCTACATAGTGTGTTTGAGGGCAGCCTGAACTATATAGTGAGACTATCTCAAAAAAACAAAATAATCAAATAACAAATCCAAGCTAGGTGTGGTGGTGCACTCCTGTAATCCTATGTATTAAGGTAGGGAGGCTGATGAAGGATAACAAGTTCAAGGCCATCCTAGGGGTTAAGACTGTCTCAAAATAAGAAATAAAAGGGCTGGGGATGTTGCCCAATGGTTGAGTGCTTGCCTAGCATGCCCAAGTCCCTAAGTTCAATTCCCAGTACAGTTTTTTTTTTAAAAAAGGGAATGACAAGTCCAAAGGAGAAATAGAATAACAAGTTTTGATGCTCCAACATCCTATAAAAGGAAATATTACATTAAAATGGAAGAAATAGAATATATTTTATAAGCACTATGTCAATTACAAATTTCCTTGTCCAATAAATATTTAATATTCATTTTCATTTCATTCTTTTTTTTTTTTGGTACCGGGGATCAAACTCGGGTCCTTGCACTTCAGCAGCAGGCGGTGGAACCACTGAGCTAAATCCCCGGCCCCATTTTCATTTCATTCTTATATTAAACAAATCTTAACTTTGTTGTGGTGACAACTGTGCCCTGCTGCAAATTACATTTTTTTTTTTTGGTACCAGGGATCGAACTCGGGACCTTGCACTTGTGAGGGAGATGGCAGAACCACTGAGCTAAATCCCCGGCCCTGCAAATTACATTTCTTAGCTTCCTTTGCAGATAGGGGTAAAACTTTTTTGGGGGGGCGGGGTGTTTTTTGAGACAAAGTCTCGTTATGTAGTCCAGCTTGACCTTAAATTGTTATGTAGTCTAGATTAGCCTCAAACTTAGGATCCTCCTGTCTCAGCCTCCCAAGGGCTAAGATTGTGGGCACATGACACAATATTCAGCTAACCCTAAACTTTTAATTGAGTCTAGCCCACAGGATACAGGCAAAAGCCATTGGAAAGGGCAACCAGAAAAGCTTTAATAAAAATTATATGGCACACCTTTTTGTTTTTTTCCCTTCCTTCTTCCACTTATAATCAAGAGAATAGAAGGTACGAGCTATAGATGGTGGAACAAAATACTGGGAGAATATTACAGGTATCATTACATATTATATATGGACCAATGACATTATAAAGTCACCACATCAGTCCTGGGATGCCTACTATGCATTCATTTTTATGAAAAAATACTCTTTTCTTGTTATTCTATTTTACTTTATTTTTTTCAGTACTGGGAATCGAACTCAGGACCTTGTGCTTGCCAGGCAGGTGCGTTGCCACTGAGCTAAATCCCCAGCCTTGTTACACTATTTTATATCTATTTCTTGCAGCCAAATGCTGTTCTTAATTGATACTCATTTTGCCTTAAATGTCAATCTTCTACAAGGCTACCTTATCCTGGATATTCCCAGAAATTTTTATTTCTCTTTATTTTTGCCATCTTTTATTTCTTTGATGGAAGTGGTAATCACCACCAATCTGATGAAGATGCCATGAACATTCTTTTTCACCAAATATCTCTTGTTACTGTAAGATGACATAGGCAGAATAGACTACCTGTGGAATTTCTTCCATTTTTATGTAGTTCAACACCAAATCCATGGATTAATTTGTATAAATTTGTATTTTTTGAGTAAACAAAGCAGAAAGGGTTTAATGCAGTAGTTTAATTAGCTCACACAAGTCATTTGTAACAATAAGGTAAAAAAACCCCTCAATTCTGTACATAACCCAATAGGCAAGATATGCATTGCTTTTAGTAGATAGAAGATAATCATTGTTATACTCCCCAAATTAAGGTTATCACTAGTTTCCAAAATTTTCCAAAAAGAAATAGAAGGGGCCAGGGATTTAGCTCAGTGGTTCTGCTGCAAGCCTCACAAGTGCAAGGTCCTGAATTCGATCCCCGGTACCAAAAAAACAAAAACAAAATAGAAAACAACACAGAGAAAAGAAATTACTTTTTATCATTTTCTGGATGTAAATACCATGCATTAAAATATACTTTTTAAAAAATTTTAAAGTAATAAAATATATTTTATTGGGCCACATAATTACCTCACCAAGCAATTTCTTAAGGAGAACACACATTGTATTATTCAAAACTCAATCAAATGAATAGTCTTGGTTTTTAAACATTTTTTTTGATTATAAGAGTAATATATATTAACTATTGCAAAAACTTTAAGACAGAAAAATATAAAAATAAAAATGAAAATCACACATTTTTCCATATATAGACATACAGTGCATTAACACTTTAGTGTATTTCTTTTTTTTTTTTTGGTACTGGGGATCGAACTTGGGTCCTTGCGCTTGGACAGCAGGCAGCGAAACCACTGAGCTAAATCCCCGGCCCCTTTAGTGTATTTCTTTCAAATTTTTTTCTAAAGCCAGCTGTGGTAGCGTACGCCTGTAATACCAGCACTCAGGAGGCTGAGGCAAGAGGATTGCCACAAGTTCAAGGCCAGCCTGAACTGCACAGTAAGACTCTGTCTCAAAAAAAAAACCCAAACAAACAAAACAACAAAAATAACAACAACAAAAATAAATCAAATCTTTTTTCCATGTTGCGAATCATTTAAGACTACACATAGATTTAGGGCCATACCACCCTGAATATTCCTGATCTTGGAAGCTAAACAGGATTGGGCCTGATTAGTATTTGAATAGGAAGACTACATAGTTCTTGTGAGCATTTTATGTCATTAAAACTCTTCAAAGGGTCGGGGATTTAGCTCAGTGGTTCCGAAGACTGCCTCGCAAGCGCAAGGCCCTGAGTTCGATCCCTGGTACCAAAAAAAAAAAAAAAAAAAAAAACTCTTCAAAGCACTTTAAAGATAAAAGTTTTGACTAAAATAATGCATGCTGATGATAAACATTTTTAGGGAAAAGGAGCAAAATAAAAACCTTCATATTCATATTTCTTCACCTGTAAACACTATCAATATTCTAGTCTCTCATACTCAAATACAAATGATTTTTTTTTCTAAATTGGAATAATATATTTGCAGTACTGGGAATTGAACCCAGGGCCTTCACACTGACCTACACCCAAAGCCCCCCCCTTTTTTTTCAACCTAGGCTGGGCTCAAATTTGCAAACTTTCTGCCTACCTCTCCCAAAGTGCTTGAATTACAGACATGTACCACTATGGCCATCTTTTTGGGGTTGTATTTATATTTTGATTTTTTTATTCTTCTGTAATAATGTGCATATCATTTAAATATTTACAAGATCTAAGAAATATTCTATTACATATACATGCATCATAATTTAACCACATAGCCTACCGAGGGACAATTAGATTATATCCAATTATATTCTAAGTAATGGTACAATAAGATTGTGGTTCACAGGGGCAGGGATTTAGCTCAGTGACATTGCGCTTCCCTTGCAAGCACAAGGTCCTGAGTTCGATCCCAGTACCAAAAAAAAAAAAGATTGTGGTTCATAAATAGGTGTTTGTATCATTAGTTAATTGGTTAGAATTCCTAGAAAAGGAGTGATGTGTCAAAAGATAGGAACCTTTTGCTGGGGAAAATGGTGTGTGCCTACAGTTCCAGCTACATGAGAGGTTAAGGCTGAGACTGAGGCAGGAAGACTGCTTGTACTCAGGAGTTTGAGGTCATCCTGGGCAACGCAGTAAGACCCCATTTCAGAAAAAGAGAGACAGAGACAGAGAGAGACAGACTGATTTCAAAGTCTCATGGTAATGTGTTACTAAATTACCTTGTTTGTAAATTAGATCAATTTCTGATCCTACTATACTATACAAGAATGCCTGCATCATCCTTCCCTCAAAGCAAAAGGCTCATGTAACATACCTGTGTAAATGAAATCTAGAAGTAACCGAAAGATTCCAGCTTCAATTCCTAGAATCTGTACAACATCTTTTGAGGATTCTTTCATTCCTCCAGTAAACAAAGCTGCAAAGTATGGACTACTGGCAGCCAAGACCAGCCGATGAACATTAAAAGTTTCCTTCCCAACTTGCAGCTGCACATCACAGAAATACTGTCCATTTCTCATTTTATTTATCTGGGCCAAGATGAATTGGGCATGTTTATCTGACGAAAATGGACTATCAACAGCCCTGGAACAGCCTTCATTAGCCATGATGATCACAGATTAATTAAAAGTACTATTGTCCATAATCTGCTATCCTGAAAAACAAAATACAAACAAATCAAAGAGCATATTTTTGTGTGTAATATGTTTTCGATTCTCATATACAGGAAATGCAACCTATGCTTACAATTCACTTAGGGACATAAAATATACATTAAAGAAATAAGGAATCAATTATTGGTAGTATTTGTATATAGTTTCAGAGAAGTAAGTAGTGGGGGCTAAAATATTTGAAGGATGCTTTACATAAAAAAAGAGACCCAAATTAAATACTAAAAAATAGTATTAAGGAATGAAAAGTCATAAGCCCTGCTGGGTAAATAAAATAAGGTACAAAGGCAGAAAGTAGATTTTGTAGCTCACAGTAAGGAAGCAGGCATCACAGCTGGAATGAACTTTCAGAAGTCAATTGTGGCAAGTTAAGTTCCTTGAAATACAGTCCCTTATGGGCAGGGACTGTCTTTCAGGGCAAAAACACCAGTCTCTAACATATATTAGCTTTTCAAATGTTTGTGAAATGAATGAGTACAATGAGAAATAAGAATAGCCTAGGTCAGTTTTTTTTAACTGATAGCTTTTTCACATACTATGTGAATTACAATCAAATGTCTCATTAAAATCCTTCAATTCAAACCCAGCCTGGGCAACTTAGAGATTTAGCAAGACTGGGCTGGGGATTTAGCTCAGTGGTTCCACCACCTGCCTCACAAGCACAAGGTCCAGAGTTCAATCCCCAGTACCAAACCAAACAAAACAAAACTGAAAGTGTGAGATTTAGCAAGATTCTGACTCAAAATATAAAATAAGAAGGGCTGGTTGTTGCTCAGCACCAAGGCCCTAAGTTCAATTCCAGTACCACCAGAAAAAAAAAAAAAAAAGGAAGAGTAAAATCCTTTAATTTGTATACTTTGCTTAGCACACAAAGCCCTTATCCAAGACTCTGTTCAAATATAATTTCTCTATTAATCCTTCCCTGTGTCTCTCTTCTCTGGGTTTGGTATTGCTCTAAACTTACCTATATTGCACCCTATATCACTCCCTACCTTATCAAATACCCTGCCATCCTAATCCAAGTGTGTACATGCATACACACACGCAATTTTCTTGAAATACAGTCTCTTATGGGCAGGGGCTGTCTTAAAAAGCAGTAACACCAGTCATTAACATATATTAGCTTTTTAAATGTTTGTGAAATGAATGAGTACGAGAGATAATAATAGCCTTGGTTGGTTTTTAAAACTGTTAGCTTTTTCATCTACTATGTCAATTATAATTCTCAATAATTAAGAGGCAAGAAGAAAAGATAATCTTACCCAAGATAAGATGGAAACTGAAACTCAAAGCTTCCCCAAAGATACCGAGTTAGTATGACAGTCTTGGTATTTGAATTGAGGTCTTCTTACTCTAAATCCAAGACCTTGCCCACCATATACATTACACAGGAATTATTAGGCCAAGTTATAGAGAAAGGGCTTTGAGGACCAAGCATAGAAATTTAGACCTGAGTTTTAATAGGCTTAATAAGAATAAACATAATAGTCATATTTCATAACTGTTTGGTTCTTCAGAGGTGTGAGCTAGGAGGTAATGAAGTCTAATTAAACACCCTAACAGCTTCAGCAATGAGAATCAAAGGCACAAATCCAAGTTACCTTTTAAAAAAAACAAAAACAGGGCCGGGGATTTAGCTCAGTGATTTTGCCGACTGCTGCTCAAGTGCAAGGACCCGAGTTTGATCCCCAGTACCAAAAATAAATAAATAAATAAATAAACAAACAAAACCCCCAAAACATGAGTACCTATTAGAGATATGGAGATAATGCACAGGGGAAATCTAAGATGATTAAGGTTTTCTGATTTAGGCATCAACAAGGAGAACTGGTATTAAGATTGACGTTAGAAAAATGTAGGTGTAGGCTGACATTTGAAAAAAGTATTAAGTATAGCATTCACTGAAAGTCAAGTAACAAAGCTGATTATCATGACTAAGATTTAACCTATTGAGAAATCTGAGACATTCTAATGTCACTGCTAAAATTTCACATTAGCATCTCCATAATGTCAATATTTTATACTTAGCATATAAATGCAAAGAGTATATTTGTCACTACATAGAAATGCAACTTGCTGATATTATTAAACATGACATGGCTGTCTGGTTTTCTTTTTTTATAGCAAAACATTTATTGTACATTTTAGGCATACATAATGTAACAGTCATCATAGGGAATTTGCACCTGTACATGATACATCCCGCCCCTTTTTTCCCATTCCTCCTCTCCGGCCTCCTCCCCTCCCTATGTATAAAAGCTTTGTTTCCATTTTTTCTTCTATTTTCACTTTTTTTCTTGTCCCTTCCTTCCTTTCTCCCTCCTTCCTCCCTTGTTCCCCTTCCCGTTTGAACCTTTTCTTCCCATTTCTCAATATCTGTTAGGTTTTTTCTGGTTTAGATTTTTCTCTTGTCAGTAGAATTTGGACTTCAGTGGTTTGCTACGTACCTCCTGTACCCTACTTCAAGACATCAGGCACAGCCACTGAGCTAAAATGCTGCCTCCCACTACAAGACAAAGTTCACTAAATATCCACTCTGGTGGCAGACAGCAGAAATCCTAGACTGTTACCTCGCTTCTCAGTAACTGTTGATACCATCTCACTGTCAGTGCAGTATCTCATTCCAAAAGGTGGCCTGAGGGTTGACCACATTTTCAAAATGGCCCTAGGGATATAAAGGACGTGCCTCAAGAATCCCAAACTAGAAAGGCAGATTAACAGGAAATGGTGGGGACAAGCAGAAGAACTAAACGCGGCCCTGAATTCACTGTCAGAGTTGTGAAACTGCTTCAGCAAAGGGTGTCAAAAAGAGTCCGGGACAAATGTCAACAAAACAAAACAAAACAAAAACTTAAACTCTTTGTGCTCAGTTAGGCTGGACCTAAAGCGCTATCCCTAAACTGCTGTGATGCTGACTGTGGATAACCAATCTGGTGCATCGGAAAGGGCAAGGAAGGGACCTCAGACAAATGAGGGGGCGCAGAGAGGCCGAGGAAACAGCCTCTGGTTTCCCCACTGGGACGCAAAGAGCAGAGGCAGCCCTGATCCAGACCAGAGGAAGCTCGGGAGAGACGAAAACATTCCGGCTGTCAGGGGCGCGATGGAGTCGGCAAGAGGAATGGTGAGGAGAAACCGGTACCAGAGTTCTTTCGCTCTCTTCCTTCAAGTCCGAAAGTCGGACAGAGCGGAAGGGGAAGCTCCCAACCCTGTCACACACGAACCCGGGTTGCAGGCCCTTCTTACCGCCGCTTCGCCTTCCCGCCAGCGCGAGTGCAGACCCTGCGGGCGCAGTCGTGACCCGCACGGTGCAGAAAACTGCGGGGTGACGGGGCAGGGCGGTTCCAGGGGTGAAAGCCAAACCCCGCCTGGGGAAGCGCGGCTCCAGCCTGTCTCCGCGCATGCGCAGCTCTCCGCATCCGGGCTGGTGCCCCTGAGTTTGTGCTCGCTCCCCCGGGTGCGCGTCTCCGGTCGCCGACGTCTGCTGTAGTTCGTTGGGGAGATCGGCTCGCCCTTTCCTTTCCTTCCTCCGGACCTTCGTGTTATAGACGGAAATAAACAGCAGCACTGTGCTGCTTGTAAAACTACTCTCAAGATCATTTTCCATATATCTCCTTGAAGGAGCTCTGCGTTGAGAATATACCTAACTTTGAGGGAAGGTAGCATTCAGAGTGCCTAGTTGTTTTTGCTGTTCAGCCTCGTAATATGCCACATGGCTTTCAAACTTTTTGATCCCAGCCCATGTTTAACAAGAACATCAATCCCAGTACCACATACTTGTATTTACACTTACTACCAGCAATGCACTCACTACGTGTCTACTTTTCTGTTTCATTACCAAAACCTGCAAAAAGGACCTATGGCAGGAAACATTGTTAAGACTTGGAAAAGAGATTACTGGTGCCAATTCAGGGGTGGCTGGGCATTGTCTGGAAGACACTGGAAGGATTTGAATTCACAGGTACCTGTCATTTTCTATTGACCAAGCTTTTTTACAAGAAAATAGATAGGATTTAAACTATGAAGTGTGATCGAAAAATGTGGGTGAATGTTTAAATTTTTAAAATTATTACAGTGAAAAATACGTTGCCGTTAATCCTCAAAATACTCCCCCACACTTCAAACTCACTTAAAACTCATCTTTTGCCATTTTCTGAAGCAATTCTGGAAAGTCCTCTTTCTTGAGTGTATTTAGTTTCCCTGTTTTGGCTATCTGAAACGATGCAAAGTGCTCACCTTTCATAGTCATTTTCACTTTGGGGAAGAGCCAGAAGTCACACAGCGCTAGATGGGGTGAATAAAGTGGATGAGAACACACCATAATGTATACATCTGGAATGTTTCCCACAGCTTTGGGAGGACTCAGAGCAGGGACATGGGGATGGGGCAGTATATCCGTTGAATCTGCCACAGGTTGCCACTAATTCCAAGTACTTTCAGAAAATAGTGCTGGAAACAAATTTTTAAAACTGAATTTATGTTAATATTTCTTATTAAAGATAAATAATATGGGATTTTTTCTTTCTTTTTTGGTAGTGCTGGGGGATTTTTTCATTAATTCTTAATTTTGTCTCCTTTCTCTTTTGGCTCTTAATAACACTGACTTTTTTTTTTTTTTTGGCACCGGGGATCACACTCGGGTCCTTGCTCTTGCGCAGCCGGTGGCGAAACCACTGAGCTAAATCCCCAGCCCAATAACACTGACATTCACTTGTTTTATCCTACAGTATAAATCATTGGATTAAAATTGCATGACTATTATTATTACAAATAATAAAATTATTGAATAACCTTTAAGATGCCTTTCGGGCTGGGGATTTAGCTCAGTGGTTTTTGGCCGCCTGTCTTGCAAGCGCAAGGACCAGAGTTCGATCCCCGGTACCAAAAAAAAAAAAAAAAGATGTCTTTGAACTTTTTTCATCATTAAGATAATACCCTCCAGCCGGGGATGTAGCTCAGTGGTGCTACGCCTGCCTGGCAACCCCAAAGTTCTGAGTTCGATCCCTGGTTCTGCAAAAAACAAAAAACAAAAACAAAAAAGCCCTCCTGACTGTGTCTAGAAAATACAAAGAACTTGTACAACTCAATAATAAAAAACAAATAGTTCAGCTAAAAACTGGATAAGGAAGTATATATGTTTTGTTTAATTAGCTGGTTGGTTGAAACATGGTCTTGAAACTCACTATGTAGCTCAGGCTGGCCTAGAACTTGCAGCAATCCCTCCTGAGTGCTGGGATTACAGGTGTGCATCACCACACCTGGCAAAGAAATATATGTATAAAAACTGGGCAAAGGACTTAAACAGGCAAATAGACACGTCTCCAAGGAAGATACTACACACAAATGGCCAATAATACATAAAAAGTCATTAAAGAAATGAAAATTGGGCCGGGGCTTTAGCTCAATGGTTTCTCCGCCTGCTACGTAAGCACAAGGACCAGAGTTTGATCCCCAGTACCAAAATAAAAAGAAAAGAAAAGAAAATTGCCAGGTGTGGTGGCACACACCTGTAGTCCTAGCACTTGGGAGGCTGGGCAGGAGGATTGTCATGAGTTTAAGGCCAGCCTAGGCTGCTACATAGTGAGTTCAGGGCCAGCCTCCTACAAAGGGAGATGCTGCCTCAAAAAAACAAAAAAGAAAGAAAGAAAAAAAGAAATGAAAATCAAGTCAGGCATAATAGCTCAAAACCATGGTGCCATACCAATTCACACCGACGATGACTAAAACAAAAAAAGACAATGTTAAGTGTTGATGAGGATGTAGGGAAATTGGTACCCTCATTTATTAATAGTGGGATCATAAAATGGTGCAGCCATTTTGGACAACCTTTTGGCAGTTCATCAAAACGTTTAAAATAGAGTTAACATATGTCTAAACAATAGAAGTGGAAACATGTCTACACAAAGAGTCACACACAAGGCCGGGGATTTAGCTCAGTGGTTCCGCTGCCTGCCTCACAAGTGCAAGGTCTCGAGTTTGATCCCCGGTGCCAAAAAAAAAAAAAAGAATCACACAAATGTTTATAGTGGCACTGCTTGTAATAGCCACAAAAAGACAACAACCCAAATGTCCCCCAATGGAGGCTGGATAAATAAAATGTGGTACCTTCATGCAATGAGATATTATTCAATCATAAGAAGAAATGAAATACTGAAAGATGTTACCATATACATTAATCTTTTTTGTGGGGGGGTACTGGGGATCAAGCTTGGGACCTTCCGCTTGCGAGACAGGCAGCAGAATCACTAAGCTACATCCCTGCGCCCAATATTAATCTTGAAAAAATTTTGCTAAATGGAAGAAGCCAATTACAAAAAGCTACATGTGGTGGGGGATGTAGCTCAGTGGCACTGCGCCTGCCTGTCAAGTGCAAGGTCCTGAGTTCCATTCCTGATACCAAAAAAAAAAAAGCCACGTGTATGATTATATTAATATGAAATGTTCAGAACTGGCAAACCTAAAAAGCTAGAAATTAAATTAAAAGTTCTCAATGACTGGAAGGAAGGGGGTCTAGGGGAATATGAGAATGGAGTTGTTGCTGGTGGAGTCAGGGTTTATTTTAGGGTAATGAAATTGTTCTAAAATTAGGTAGTGATGGTTAAAAAAACTGTGAATATAGTGCCGGGGATTTAGCTCAGTGGCACTGCACTTACTTTGCAAGCTCAAGGTCCTGAGTTTGATCCCTGGTAGCAAAAAAGCAAAACAAAACTGTGAATATAGTAAGCCATTGAAGTGTACCTTTTTTAAAGGGAGAAATCAGTATTATATAAATTATACTGTAAAAACTGTTATTTAAAAAAGTTACACTGGGCCAGCTGACTAAAGTATGTACAAAGTACTGCCTTCAAAAGTCATATGAAATAATTCTCTGACAGATTTGTTAAGCAGTTAATCATTTGTTTCAAATTTTGGTTTGCTTAGTTTTTCTATTTTTGTCTCATTCCTTTTTTTTTGATCACACTATATTTTCACTTTATATTTTTATTAAAAATAAATTTTACTAGGTGCAATGTTTTGTATTTCACCTCTAATCCCAGCTACTTGGTAGGTTGAGACAGGAGGATTGCTTGAGCCCAGAAATTTGAAGCCATCCTGGGCAACATAGCAAAACTATGTCTCAAAAATAAGTAGGTAGCTAGATTAATTTTTTTGGTGTGTGATGAGAACTCTTGAGATCTACTGTCTTGGCAGATCTCAATTGTGTATTATTACATACAGCCATCATGCTGTACATTAGATTTCTAGAACATATTCATATTGTAACTGAAAGTTTACACCATTTTATTTATCTCTCCCCTTTTCTTCACTCCCCAGGCCCTGGTAACCACCATTCCACTCTGTCATTATGAATTTGACTTTTTTTTTATTCCACAGATAAATGAGATCATGCAATATATGCCTTTTTGTATTTAGCATAATGTCCTCCAGGTTCATCCACATTGTCATAAATGACAGGATTTTTTAAAAAAAGGCTGAGGAAGCAGGAGGATCACAAGTTCAAGCCCAGTCTGGATATCTTAGTGACTTAGAAAGACACTGTCTCAAGATAAAATATAAAAAAGGGCAGAGGATATAGCTCAGTGTGAAAGACCTGGGTTCAATTCCCAGTACCACACACACACAAAGTTGAATAATATTCCATGGTGATGTGTGTTTAGAGTGTGCATGTGGGTCTGTGTGACATTTTCTTTATTCATTCATCTGATAACAGACACTTTAGGTTGTTTCCACATCTTGGCTACTACAAATAACATTGCAACAAATGTAAGAAGGCAGGACTGGGGATTTAGCTCAGTGGCACTGCACCTGCCTAGTAAGCACAAGGTCCTGAGTTCAATCCCTGGTACTGAAAAAAAAAAAAAAAGAATGCAGATACCTCTTTAACATACTGATTTTTTTGGGGGGGGGAGAAAAAATTTATTTTTTAATTTTGTGTTTCAAATTCATACCATATACTTTTTTGTGTGTGTGCTGGGGATCGAACTCGGGACCTTGCGCTTGCGAGGCAGGTGCTGGAACCACTGAGCTAAATCCCCGGACCATACCATATACTTTTAAGTACTACATAAACTTGTCTTTAGAATATTCAATATTTCATTTGGGCAAAATTGTTTCATCTAAATCTAGAGAAACACAGCTTTGCTTTTCTGTTTAGAAAATAAGGCATTAGCAATCAATGCTTTTCCTTACTACTGGATTAACTTACACTTAATGTTTTGGATTTTTGGTTGGATATTATGCAAGGGAAATCTTTTGCATGAGTAGTTCCTTGGGTTGATCTTATGACAAAAAACTAAAACACAATGGCAACACTTTGTGGTGAAAGGCAAAATTAATGTTTGGGTTTAAACACTGCATAGTGAAGGAATCCTGTACTGCACTTTTCATCTCTTAAAAATAGAAATGTCGGCCGGGGATTTAGCTCAGTGGTTTTGCCACCTGCTGCACAAGCTCAAAGACCCGAGTTGGATCCC